CCTAACACAACAATACATCCTCAAAAGAAATAGCTAGGGAAAAGACCAAAATGCCCTTAATGATTCCCGGACGGATTTCCTTGTCAACTGCCCAACTTTCAAGGGCCATAACTCGCTCATACGAACTCGGAATTGAGCAAACTCGGCGGCGTTGGAAAGATCATTCCACAAGCTTCACAACCATAACTGGAACTACTCCTAACTCATCCTGAGCTGGAAGTTATGACTTCTCAAAGTTGGCCAAAAATCACTGATTTCCATACTTAGCCAAATTTCCAGATTTTCAAATCCTTTCCAAAAAAATGAAAATTTTCAAATTCTAAGCCTCTTCCTAGCTATTTCAAATTGTCGGATGTTACAATCTTTCTGAAATAACCTCTCTATCTATACGAGGGAGTGGTAAGATTAACATAAACTTGTGCCACTGAACTTATGCCTTAGAGCATAACTTGTGTTAACCAATTTTAAATTCTTGCCTTGCACTTAGTAGAGAATATATACTTTTCTACTTTAGAACTTTTTGAAGCTTTAAATACTGAATTCCATGATTACAATATTCATCACTTATCAAACTCTCAATCTACTGCTTCCAATATTAATTTTCATACACACTTTACCTTTTGCAAAAAAATTATTAATTTCCATACACCTATCCCATTTTTTGTTTTTTTTTTCAATCAAAAGTAGTATTCCTAAAGATGGCTGATGCCTTTGTGTCATTTGCAGTTCAAAAATTGAGTGATTTCCTCAGTAGCCAAGTTTCCCTGAGAACAAATCTCAGAGAGGAAGTTGAGTGGCTGATAAAAGAGCTACACATCATAAAGTCATACCTCGGAGATGCAGAACAAAAGCAAACTGGAGATAATAGAGTTCAACAATGGCTGTTTGAAATCAACTCTATTGCTAATGACGCTGTTGCTATACTCGAGACTTACAGCTTCGAGGCTGGTAAACATGCTAGTTGTCTCAAGGCTTGTGCTTGCATATGTAGGAAGGAGAAGAAATTCTACAATGTGCTCGAGGAGATTCAATCACTCAAGCAGCGAATCATAGATGTCTCTGGCAAGCAAGAGAATTATGGTATTACAAATATCAATTATAATGCAGGAGAAGGGCCAAGTAATCAGGTTACAACATTGAGGAGAACTACCTCACATGTGGATGACCAGAATTACGTTTTTGTTGGACTTCAGGATGTTGTAGAAAAATTGCTAGATGAACTTCTCAGAGCAGAGGCTCGTCCAAGCGTCATCTCCATTTGCGGAATGGGTGGTTTAGGCAAGACCACACTTGCGAGAAACCTCTATATCAATCCTAATATAGTCAATAGCTTCCATATGCGTGCTTGGATATGTGCTCCTGAAGAGTACAACACCGTGGATGTCCTCAAGAATATCATAAAATCCATCCAATCTTGCAGCAAGGAAATTCTAGATTGGTTGGAAAGGATGACAGAAAGAGATTTAGCAATATACCTTCGTGCTCTTTTAAAAAAACGCAAATACCTTGTCGTGGTTGATGATCTATGGCATAGAGAAGCGTGGGAGAGTTTGAAAAAAGCATTCCGAGATGGCAAGAAAGGCAGCAGAGTCATTATTACCACGCGCAGAGTGGATATCGCTAAAACAGCAGACGAAGGTTTTGTCCATAATCTCCGTTTCCTAAGCCAAGACGAAAGTTGGGATCTCTTTTGTAGGAAACAACTCCATGTTCAAGCAATGGTTCCAAAAATGGAAAGGTTAGCTAGGGATATGGTGGAAAAGTGTGGAGGCTTACCTCTTTCAATTGTTGTATTGAGCGGACTACTTTCGCATAAAAGGGGGCTAGACGAATGGCAAAAGGTGAAAGATCACCTTTGGGAGAACATTATTGAAGATGAATGTATTGAAATCCCCAACATATTATCATTAAGCTACAACGATTTGTCAATTGCGCTCAAGCAATGTTTTTTGTACTTTGGTATTTTTCCAAAAGATCAAGTGGTCGAGGCTGAAAACATAATACGCTTGTGGATGGCGGAAGGTTTCATACCAAGAGGAGAAGAAAGAATGGAGGATGTCGCTGAAGGCTTCTTGAATGAGCTGAAAAGACGAAGCTTAGTTCAAGTGGTAGATACATTCTGGGAAAAAGTTGAAGTATGTAGTGTTCATGATTTACTTCATGATCTTGCGATCCATAAGGCATTGAAGGTAAACTTCTTTGACATTTATGATCCAATAAACCATTCCATATCCTCTTCATGTATCAGACATGGCATTCATAGTCAAGAGAAAAGGTACCTCTCACTTGATCTTTCTAACTTGAAGTTGAGGTCAATTATGTTCTTCAATCTAGGATTTCGTAACATGAGTCATATAAACTTCAGTAGTGTGTTCCAACATGTATATGTGTTGTACATGGATATTATTGATGGCACTTTACCTGATGCCGTAGGAAGTTTGTACCACCTCAAGTTCTTAAGATTGACAGGTGTTATTCATGATTTACCCTCCTCCATTGGCAGCCTTAAGAATTTACAAACACTTTGTGTCAAATGTAATTTCAAACAGTTCTGCCAACTACCCCCCGAAACAGCTGACCTAATAAATTTAAGATATTTAGGTGTTCCCTATTCAGAACCTCTGAATCGTATAAGAAAACTCACAAGTCTTCAAGCTCTCGAAGGCGTCTCTTGTGATCAGTGGAAAGATGTTGATCCTGTTGATTTAGTCAATCTTCAAGAATTAAGCATGATTAGTATTACCAAATCTTACTCCCTCAACAAGATTAGCAACTTGAAAAACCTTAGCACTCTCAAGTTGTTGTGTTATGCTGATGAATCATTCCCATCTCTTGAATTTCTTATTTCTTGTCATAACCTCAAGAAATTGTTGTTAGAAGGTAGAATAGAGAAACTGCCTTTGTTTCCAAATTCCATCACAATGCTGACTCTTGTCGACTCAAAACTCATGGAAGATCCGATGTTTATTTTGGGAATGTTGCCAAACCTAAGGAATCTCTGTTTGTTTAGAGCTTATCAAGGAAAAGAAATAATCTGCAGTGATAACAGTTTTAGTCAACTGAAGTTCCTTAGTCTTGATTGTCTTTGGAACCTAGAAAGATGGAATTTAGCAACAAGTGCCATGCCTCTGATCAAAGCTCTTCGTATCGATCGCTGTCTAAAGCTGAACCAAATTCCTGAGAGAATGAAGGATGTGGAGCCATTGCCTATTGAAGAGAAATTAAATGCGCTGAAGCTTTTCAACCATATGTGATGTCTTATTTCATAATACCAAAGGTAAATATACAAACAAATATATAACTTTGTTGATCTATTTATATAAATCGTGTCGTAATATTTGGGTGAAATCAACAGAGAAGAAGCTGTCACTTGAAGACATTCACCTTCATCAACGTGGCTTCTCCAACCATCAATCAACTTGGATTGTTTCAACATTCTGTTTTTCCAATGTTTCATTTTTCCTGTTTTTGGCTTGTTTTAGTGTGTGGAATTGGTTCAAACAGATGTATTTTTTTTTATTTTTGGGATTCTATGCTAAAATGATTTCGTGATAGGGAAAAGGCTCAAATATGCTGTTGAACTATTAGAAATGACTCATTTATGTTATCGCCATTATAAAAATAGGTTCATTTGATGCAATTCTTACAAAATGGCTGAAGCTAAAGCAGCTGAACAATCAATAGTCATTATAATATCAAAATATTTAGTGACTGAGAAAATCAATTAGGCATCTGTTGAACAGTTTTTGGGGGTTAATCTTCTGTTGAGAGTGAAAGAACCAAACAGACACCATAATCTAAAAAGGGAAAATGTTCAAATATGTCATTGAACTTTGAGAAAAGGTTTATATATGCTATCTATTAACAAATTGGCTCATTTATGTCATTTATGTTTGAAAAAAAGCTCATTCATGTCATTATTTGTTAACTGAAAATAGTTTCGGTTTTGCAAAATCATTTGTTATACTTGGTCAATTATGATTTGGCCACGTCATTAATTATATCATTTTTTAAAAGGAAAATCGTTCAAATATGCCATTGAACTTTGAGAAAAGACTCATCTATGTCATTCGTTAAAAGTTAGGCTCATTTGTGTATTTCAAATATGAGCCAAACATTTAACGAATAACATAAATGAGACATTTCTAATAGTTCGATGACAAAGTTGAGCGTTTTCCCTTCAGTTAATTGTTTTTCTATGTGCGATCTTACTTATCCACATTTAAGATAAGACATAATACATAAACACGACCCTTTAACTTGACGTCAACTGACAACTATGACCTTTAACTTGGGGTGTGCACAAGTAGGCACTTAAACTTGTATAAAATTGAACAAATAGACGCATTTGTCCTACATGACACCCTATGTGGAAATTTGTATCCTACATGGCGTCCTACGTGTATTATGCCATGTAGGACACGTGTGTCTACTTGTTCAATTTTATACAAGTTTAAGTGCCTACTTGTTCTCTGAACCTCTAGTACGTATAAGCAAACTCACTAGTCTTCAAGTTGTTGATGTCATTGGTTGTGATCAGTGGAAAGATGTTGACCCTTTTGATTTAGTCAATCTCCGAGAATTAAGCATGCATGATATTAAGAAATCATACTCCCTAAACTTCATTTTTTTCTTTTACTCCATATAAATAATATTTGTGTTAAATCAACAGAGAAGAAGCTGTCACTTGAAGACATTCACCTTAATCAACTTGGCTTCTCCAACCATCAATCAACTTGGATTATTTCAACATTCTGTTCTTTTTTTTTGGTTGTTTTGCTTTTACATTAAACAGTGTGGAATTTGCTTTTAGAGGAAAACCTAATAGAAGAAAGTATTTTTTTTAGGGAAAATGCATAAGTACCCCCCAACCTATGCCCGAAATCCCAGAAACACACTTATACTATACTAAGGTCCTATTACCCTCCTGAACTTATTTTATAAATAATTTTCTACCCCTTTTCGGCCTACGTGGCACTATCTTTGAAAAAATTGTCAACACGCACTGGGCCCACAAGATAGTGTCACGTAGACCGAAAAGGGGTAGAAAATTATTTATAAAATAAGTTCGGGGGGTAATATAGGACCTTAGTATAGTATAAGTGTGTCTCTGAAATTTCGGACATAGGTTGAGGGGTACTTATGCATTTTCCCTTTTTTTTATAATAAAGAATGTGGAATTTGCTTTTAGAAACGTAATAGAAGAAATAAAACTTTTTTTTTATATTAAAGAGTTCTGAATTTGCTTTTAGAGTAATGCAAGAAACTAAAACTTTGTAGAAAAATCCCCTATATATATAAAAATAAAATTCATATTTACGAAACATAGCAAAAGAATTTCAAACATAGCAGGAGTTTTTTTTTTTTTTTCAAACATATACGAAATTTCGTGTATGATGAAAACAGTGTAAAAATCATATGAAATATATAGATCTCACTTAGAGCTTAGAACTTCGTTCAAATTTTTTGTGTATGAACAATATATAAATTTGGTATGAAATATGTATATAACTATATAAATTTACATATAACTCATCTGTCATTATATGATTATCATACGATTTTTTGATACAATTCGTCTATAATTTTGAATTTCAACGAACTAAAATTAAAAATTTAGTCCAAAACTAATTCGAATTTTACCCAAATGATCTCATTTTTTATAATTTTAGTCTCCTCAACTTTCCAATTCTTTTGAGAAATCACCAAATTCAAAACAAATTAAAATTCGTTTTTAGCAAATCAATTTTGAGAACTTGACCTTCAAGATCTTACAAAATCTTTATGGAATTGAGAAGCCTTGCTCATCATTTTTTCCTATAGATTCCCCAAACAAGGAAAATTAAAAAGAAAAGAAAGGTATCTATTATTTAAAGATCAAGGATTATTGACTAAAATATCCTTATTTACAATGTAATTTCGTTGGATTGAACTTTTAAAATAATGTTTGTTCTAGGGGACATATTACTGAGAGTCTTTCTAAAATAGTCTATCTGCCTCCACGGGGTAATGGTACGGTCTGCATACATTTTTCCCTTTCCAGATCCATTTGTGGAATTTCATTAGGTATGTTGTTGTTTGCCCCGCGGGACTTGTGCCTTGGGACATAATTTTTTGTCTTAACACACAACTTGTGCGACTGAAGCAGTGGCGTAGCCACATAACTGGACACTTGAATGTTCTTAGCGAAATTTTTGGTTTCGCCACTGCACTGAAGTTATGCCTTTGAGCATAACTTGTGTCATGCAATTTTAAATTCTTGCCTTGCACTTAGTAGAGAATATATACTTTTCTTTATGATTAACCTCAACTGTATTATCTTTCTACTTTACAACTTTTTCCCCTGTCGGATTTTTTAAGCTTTAAATACTGAATTCTATGTTAACAATATTCATCACTTATCAAACTCTCAATCTACCCTTCTTCTTCTTCTTCTTCTTTTCAATCAAAAGTAGTAATCTTGAAGATGGCTGATGCCTTTGTGTCATTTGCAGTTCAAAAATTGGGTGATTTCCTCATTCAGGAAATTAACCTACGTTTAAGCCTAAGAGAGGATATGCAGTGGCTCCGAAACGAGCTTCTCTTCATGCAGTCTTTCCTCAAAGATGCAGAACTAAAACAATGTGGAGATCATAGAGTTCAACAATGGGTGTTTGAAATCAATTCTGTTGCGAATGATGCTGTCGCTATACTCGAGACTTACAGCTTTGAGACTAGTAAACGTGCTAGTCGTCTCAAGGCTTGCGCTTGCATATGTAGGAAACAGAAGAAATTCCACAATGTCGCTGAGGAGATTCAATCACTCAAGCAACGAGTCATGGATATCTCTCGTAAACGAGATACTTATGGTATTACAAATATCAATAGTAATGCTGGAGAAGGGCCAAGTAATCAGGTTAGAACATTGAGGAGAACTACCTCATATATAGATGATGATCACATTTTTGTTGGCTTTCAGGATGTTGTACACACATTGCTATCTGAACTTCTCAAAGCAGAGCCTCGTCGAAGAGTCCTCTCCGTTTATGGAATGGGCGGTTTAGGCAAGACCACTCTTGCGAGGAAACTTTACACCAGTCCTAATATAGCCTCTAGCTTCCTTACACGAGCTTGGATATGTGTTTCTCAAGAGTACAACACAATGGATCTTCTTAAAACTATCATAAAATCCATCCAAGGTTGCGCCAAGGAAACTCTAGATTTGTTGGAAAAGATGGCAGAAATAGATCTAGAAAATCACCTTCGTAAACTATTAACAGAACGCAAATACCTTGTGGTGGTTGATGATGTATGGCAGAGAGAAGCATGGGAGAGTTTGAAAAGAGCATTCCCGGATAGCAAGAATGGCAGCAGAGTCATTATTACCACACGCAAAGAGGATGTTGCTGAAAGAGCAGACGACAGAGGATTTGTCCATAAACTTCGTTTCCTAACCCAAGGAGAAAGTTGGGATCTCTTTTGTAGGAAACTGCTTGATGTTCGAGCAATGGTTCCAGAAATGGAAAGTCTAGCTAAGGATATGGTGGAGAAGTGTAGAGGCTTACCTCTTGCAATTGTTGTATTGAGCGGACTACTTTCGCATAAAAAGGGGCTAGACGAATGGCAAAAGGTGAAAGATCACCTTTGGAAGAACATCATTGAAGATAAATCTATTGAAATCTCCAACATACTATCATTAAGCTACAATGATTTGTCAACTCCGCTCAAGCAGTGTTTTCTCTACTTTGGTATTTTTCCAGAAGATCAAGTGCTCGAGGCTGATAACATAATACGGTTGTGGATGGCGGAGGGTTTCATACCCAGAGGAGAAGAAAGAATGGAGGATGTTGCTGAAGGCTTCTTGAATCAGCTGATAAGACGAAGCTTGGTTCAAGTGACTAAAACATTTTGGGAAAAAGTTACTGAATGTAGGGTTCATGATTTACTCCATGATCTTGCGATACAAAAGGCATTGGAGGTAAACTTCTTTGACGTTTATGATCCAAGAAGCCACTCCATATCCTCTTTATGTATCAGACATACCATTCATAGTCAAAGAGAAAGGTACCTCTCACTTGATCTTTCTAACTTAAAGTTGAGATCAATTATGTTCTTCGATCCAGATTTTTGTAAGATGTGTCTTATAAACTCCAGTAGTGTGTTCCAACATCTATATGTGTTGTACTTGGAGATGCGTGTTGACGACAGGTATTTTGTATTTGTACCTGATGCCATAGGAAGTTTGTACCACCTCAAGTTCTTAAGATTAGGAGGTATCCATGATCTTCCGTCTTCCATTGGCAACCTCAA